GTGCCAGCGGCTGTGCCTGTCTGCTCTCTCAGCAGCTGGAGTTCATCACCCCCTTCCAGCTGTACTTCAACCCCGACCTCATCTTCAGGAAGTTCCAGGTGAGGCCTCGCCCGCCGCCCCTCTCGCCTCTTCCCGAGGAGGGGGCTGCGACAGGCGGGGCCCCGGGTGTCCCGCTCTCCAGGAGGCCGGGGGGGGCTGCGTGATCCTCGGGGGCTTCGTCCAAGTGCTCCAGCCTTCCCTGATTGGTGGGAGCTGGGTTGTCAACATAGTGTCCCTGGTCACAGATGCCTGGATGGCGGTGACTTCTGGCCTTGCCCTGCCATACACCATCTTGGCATTTCCTTTTTTCCTTTACTCCCAACCTGCTCTTCCTTTTCTGTGACACTGAGGTGTCTGGCCAGCTGGTGTCAGGCTGGGTGTGGAAGGCTTTACTGCAGAGGCATGAACAGGGGTTTATTTTGGCTCTGGGTGCTGAGTCGTGGCTGTTTGTCCCTTCTGAGGAAGTAGAGAAATCTTTCCCACACTTGGAAGGACAAGATTCTCTGATGTGGGCAGGGGAGAGAGGACTCATGTGAGGATGGAGCATCTGTCTGGTGTCCTGGGGTAGTTCTGAGTGGACACTGCATGACTGGGCTTCCCCAGGGGAGGGGGTGTTGGGGAGAGACCTGTCTGTCCACTTCCTTTTCTCTCTCCTCTCTTCTCTTTCAGGTATGGAGGCTGATCACCAACTTCCTCTTTTTTGGGCCCCTGGGATTCAGTTTCTTTTTCAACATGATATTTCTGTATCCTTTGGTCTCAGTGAAGCTCTCTGCTCCTTTCTTGGCTTAGACATGATTCCTCCATCCATCTCCCTCTCCACGCTGACTGGACTTGGCAGCAGTCTAGGGTTGTGGGTTCTTCCCTTGGCTTTTTCAGTATGAAGCCATCCCCAGACAGCTGTGGCCACCTCCTACACCTCCATCTCTGCTTGCTGCAGGGCAGCCCCTGCCAAAAGGCTGAAGGAGCTGGCAGTGCCACTGTGGCTCATGCTGGGTAGCAGTGCCCATTCCTGGGGTGAGCTCTGGCTGGAGCACAGCAGCTGCCTCTTTATTTCCCTGGGGTCACTGGTATGAGGTGAAGTTTGCACTTCTCTACTCTGGGGCTTGAACACCTGGATAGCAGCTTTTGGTGATGAAATAGCTCACAGCTGGTGTATTTCCCATGAAGTTGTGCTGCTTGGACACAGGGTGGCCAGTGGTTAATTTCCTATACTGCAACTCCTGCCTTCTCTCCTGCTCTCAGGTACAGGTACTGCCGCATGCTAGAAGAAGGCTCCTTCCGTGGAAGGACGGCTGACTTTGTCTTCATGTTCCTCTTTGGAGGGTTTCTCATGACAGTATCCTTTGGAGTTGGTTGAGGCTCTTTGTCTTCTGAGATGCTGTGCATAACTGTGTTGTGTGGTCTGCAGCAGGTACCTGTTTGCTGCCCAGGACAGGTGGCTTGTGAACCTCCTTGATGCCAGGAGACAGAGCCATGTTGTGCCCCAGGCCTGTGCCCTGAGGCTTGGGAGAGCTCTGCTGAGTATGCTTGGCTGTAGGTGGATTTGGAGTCCAACTACAAGGGCAGGAGCTTTTTTTTGCCTCTGACGGTCTCCTTGTGCTCTGGAGAAGAGGGCTGTGAATTGCAAGAGCCATCTCACCACTGAAGTTCACCTTCTGTAGAAGGCAGATACTGGATGTGAGCTAGTTTTTCATACATGTGCTGTGTGTCACAAGGGCTGGAAGAGTGTGAACCCTTCTCTGAAGGTCACCTTTGAGTCATTTTTGTAGAGGTGACTATATGAGCTCCCTGGTCTCTGGTGGTTGAAGGCAGCAGCTTAAGGAGTGATCAATCTGTATGTGCCTCTCCAGAGTGTCTTGTTCTGGAGTGGCAGGGAGGGAAATGTGGCGTGTGTGTGTCAGAGGAGTAAGTACATCTCATCCAGCCCAGGATTTTTTGGTGGCACAGGCAATGTCTTACTGTGATCAGCTGCCTGCAACTCTGGGTTTCCTATTTATGAGGTATCCTGTGCTGCCTGGTGAGCACAGGGTGGGTGTGGTTTTCCTTGACTCTGTAGTTCCCAGCTATTTGGACTCTTTGCCAGCCTATTTTTCCTGGGACAGGCTTTCACCATCATGCTAGTGTACGTGTGGAGCCGCAGGAACCCTTATATCCGCATGAACTTCTTTGGGCTTCTTAACTTCCAGGCCCCCTTCTTGCCCTGGGTCTTGATGGGATTCTCTCTGCTCCTGGGCAACTCCATCATCATCGACTTACTGGGTAAGCCAAAGCTGGCAGGTGCTGGGAACCAGGCACTTTGGTGCTCTCAAATCTCAAGGATCCTGCTGGGGCACTGGTGTGGTCTCTTGGTTTCATCTGCGACATCTCTCCCCAGGAATTGCAGTGGGTCACATCTATTATTTCTTGGAAGATGTTTTCCCCAACCAGCCTGGAGGAAAGAAGTTGCTGTTAACCCCTGGCTTCCTGTAAGTAAAGCCAAGTCTCTCTGGACTTTGCTGTGTTGCTTCCCAACCTGGGTCACTTCCATAGCAAACTGGTCTGTGGTAGGCTGGGGTGTCTGTGGGACACAGTTGCATGCTGGTAGCACCTCAGCTCAACAGCTTATGCCTCTGCTGGAAAAAGCACTGGCACTTTGCATGTTGTATACACATGTACACAGGGTCTATAAAGCAGTTGCTGGTACCTTAAGGTTTGCTTGTGTAATTGGATTGTTCTCACTGCTTGTGGAAATGCTAAATGCAGGTAGGATTTTTTTCTGATACATTTCTGTAGTTTAAGAAAGCAGGATGTGTTATGTTTCATGCAGAGGATCAAAGCTGAGCCAGAGATCAAGGAAGCAGGTACTGTCATTACAGAGCTGAGCAAAAGAGCAGCTAGTGCTGGTGCAGTAGGTGGGTGGCTGTGGCACCCTGCCAAGCCCTGTGAAGGGCTGGGGGTTTTATTTGTCTTCAGCTCACTTTCCTAACCTGCCTGCTTGGTGGGATGGGCATGTCCCTTGCCAGGAAAATGGTATTTGACACACCTGAAGAGGATCCCAACTATAACCCTCTCCCTGAGGATCGTGCAGAAAATCAACCTAGAGACCAAGACGAGAACCAGCAGCATCCGCAGTAACACAGGAGACTTCTTCGTGTGGCCAGATTGCTCTCTTCAGTTGGACTTATGCTGTGGCTCAGAGATCCTACTGGAATAACACCAGTTGCCATTCCAATGTGTGATGTATCACTGTTTGTATGGGTAACCCATCTCCCCCCTGTACCAAGAGGTTCCACAGAGCTTTGCACAGAAGAACTTCTGAATGATTATGGAGTTGTTGCAGGGACTGGAACTGGAAGTTGTGATGTTACCCAGTGGGGGAACAAATATCAAATGGGGTGTTAAACCAGATCCTTCTCTTGCTGTTAGTGACTTTCTATGTGCCAGGTCACTCTTGGCCTCTACAAAGACGAGTGCTTTTGGCTCTCACTGTTGTGAGGCCTCTTTGTGGGCTTTCAATGAAGTAGTACTACCAACTCTACCATGGTAGAATGCAGCTCAGCTCTTCTCTTCCTTTAACTCCCTCACCCCCACTTTTCTTTTTGTGTTGTGGTTTCCAGAGAGTCTTTACATTAAAATCTTTATTTTTCAATTGTGTGTCCATTTCTGCCTGGGGCAGAGGCAGCAATTTACCAGTACTTATCAGGACTTTGTTCAGAACTGCCAGGCTGCTTGCTTGGGTTTTTCTTTATTTTGGTGGGCAAAGCAAAGTTGAGGCTAGCTGAAGATGTCTTTCCCCTCTTCTGTCAGCAGGATGGCTGAGCATGAGGTGGGGTTGGGGTGTCTGGTTGGAGAAAGGGATGCCTGGGAAAGGCCAGGGAGCATAGCTGGACGCTTGATCCAGGCAGTGACTGGATTAAGTAGCACTTGACACTAGTTAATAAAGGCTGCCTGCACATGCAGTTTAATTCCACTGTTGCTGAATTTTTTAGTCCTGAAACTTAAGCATCTGAGTTTTAGGGGAAAACTAAACAAGCCTAGTCCCTGCTATGAACAGCTGGACTAAATGAATTTGATCATTCTTGCTCATGCAGTACACAACTCAAAGCCTTTAGAGTGTCTGCAAACATTGTATCTTGCAGTAGCTCATTTGGTAATGCCTGCTCAGCTGGCTGAGCATGTGAACCACCACTGAAACTGCCAGAGAAACTTGAGTAACCAACATTTAGTTAAGGGTGATGTAGAAGCCTTGTGGCAAAGAAAGATTGAACCACAGGCCCTCCACTCCCACCTCCTCAGGGTGCTTCCCATGAAAACACCTTCTGAAGTATCAGACTTAATTTTAAAAGCTATTTTGTGGCACTTCCTAGGATGAGGATGGAAGTCCTGTATAGGCAGTGATCTTGCTCTGGGAGACAGCGGCACTAAGGGCTGACCAGCCCCAGATATGACAGGTGTTGCTGTGTGCTTTGCTCATGACCTAGTAACTCAGAGCTGGTGTTTCAGTCCCTGGAAAGAGTTTGATTATAAGTCTGCAGATGTTCTGCTTTAAATTGCTTCTGAGATGGGACTTCGAAATTCAAAAGCTGGGCCACGCTTTTAGCTAAGGTACTAGGTTAACTTCAGGAGCTGTGATTATAGGGCAGGAGAGATGCTTCTGGCTAGTAGTGCTAATACGTGGAGAAAAGTGGTTGAAGCTCTCTTCTTTCTGGGACTTGGTCCCCTGGTCTGGTCTGTCTGCTCCTGAGGCTTCAGCAGTAGAGGGAGGTACTTGTAAACCCTCCACAGAAGCTGCAGTCCCTGTGTGTCTGTACCTTGTGAACTTTAGGATTAGGTAACCACAAGCTTCACTGCAATTCAAAAATTGCACCTCAGGTGCTGGTTTAAGGGTACAGTACTTCCGTGCTTGTTTTGGTCAAGTGTCTTGAAGGGGATGCTTGCAGAAGTACCTGATCATAACAAAGAGAGGATGAAGGATTCTCAGAAAGTCAAGAGTTTTTATGTCAGTGAGGCACGTTTTCTGCATGGGAGGTGAACATGCAGCCTAAACCTTGACGGGTTTTGTCTTGCATGCTAAAATAACCTCCCAACCTCTCTACCAAGAAATCAGAGTCCCACTCTGGCACAGGAGCTGAGGTTAAGACTGCAGCCGTGTTATTGCTAAATTGCAAGTTTGTCATTCCTGCAGACTAACATCTGGAAAAAGTTCCCTCCCACCCAGGAATCAGAACTGCCTCTGCTATTACTCAAGTCTAAACATGATAAATTAAGGCCAGAAAATATTTTTTGACTGTGCTAGCAGTGTGGGTGGATCAGCAAGGATTATAAAACTGACTGGCTTTATCATAAAGGCCTGAATGTAACTGTCAGGCTGCCAGCAAAACCTGCCCTGCTTGCAGCACCCATCAGTTCTGACAGTGCCTGGTAGGAACACTATCCAAGAGCTGATGTACCTCAACAGCAAGGTTGACTCTAATTAGTTTTATAAGCAAGCTTGCATTTTTTTTAAATCTCACTTTAATGGATTTTGTTTTTTTTAAGTCCCAAGGAAAAGACAGGTTGTTTCTTGGGTTGCAAAATCCTGACACTGCAGTGCTAAGGGTACTGAAGACACCCACTTTGCTTTGGGTGCACTTTAATTGGCAGCTGTGTGTGCTGACAATGACCACAGCAAAGCCAGCAGCTGAAGAGAAGCTGCAGCCTGAGTGACAGCAGACTTCAGCTTTTGTACCAGCTCAGAGACTTTGTAAATACTGCATCTGGAAATCAACAAAAAAAGGGTTCACCACACGCCGGGTTGACATCTGACAGAAATAAACATTAAGTTTTTGTCTTCAGTTAAATCTGTCTACCCTTGTCAAGTAAGCCAGCTTAACACCTCAGCAAGTTCATTACAGACTGCACCAAGTGTGATAACAGACCAACCCTTGAGTTGTTGGCTTCTTCTAGTTTTAAGCCTCAGTCTCACTTTCCCTTGCATCAAAAGGTTTTAGCTGTTTAATCTGTTGAAGGAAAACTGAATGTACACGAGTGTTCAGCACTGCACCCAAAAGCATTAGTATTAGGCCCTGGGATTGCTCGGCCACCAGAACAGCACAAAACAAGATGAGATTCATCGTTCACTCAAACTTACTGGACTCAACTCAAGTAGTATGCATTCCTTTTATTTAAAAAGTTGTACTAATAGTGCATGTTGCACCTATACAAAAGAACCTTTCCACTGTCCACACACAGGTATGTAAGGGCTCCAACAGCTGCCACAGGTCTCAGTCAGACCACGAGCTAACGCGGCGCTCTTGCTACATGGCATTCAGGTGGAGGGGGTGGGGGCAGGAATCAGCAGTACTGGGAACTCTTGGCAAGTGGAATGTGTGTCCCCTTCAGGGACAGAAAGACCCCTGCCAATCCTAGATCCATTTGGGGAGAGCAGTAGGGATAAAGTCTGTAGGAAGAGCACCAGTGTCACAACAGGAAGAGATTACCAGGCTGGAGCAGTATTGGCCAAACGTCTCATGCGCCTAGGAGAGAAAGAAAGAGGTACAGTGAGGGCTGTGTTACAGTCATGTGAAGTCTTACTAAAACAAACACTTCTGGGGAGGCTGCTACAGCTTTGTGACCTCAAGAGACAGGTTTATTGACTTCCCTGGTCACCTGAGAGTGCCCCTGTTGATAAGGCTAAGACACTATTTTCAGTAACAGCTTTTAGAGCACTTTTACTCATTAACTTGGATTAAACTGATCACTATCAAAAACTTCAGCCAGCCATAGCTGAAAAGCAAAATAATTATGAAACAATGTTAACCAGCAGTAAAATCCTGGAAGAAGCTGACCCAGCATATTTACTGTTCCCACAATGTATCTTTTGGAGAGATTTAAGCAGTTCATTCATACGTCAGGAGCAATTTCACTAAGTAGGAGTGAGTGCTCTCGACTGCTTGTCAAACTGTTCAGTGGGTCTCTCTGGTGGGCAGAGCTCCTCCTGGAATCAGAACACTGCTCCCAAGCTGGCAAACAGGTTGACATCAGTCAGGCTGGAGCTGAGAGCTTGCCCATTCCTACAGCAAACAGCACTTTACCCTACATAAAAGGAAGCCTTGTGGCAGGACTCTAGGTAGTGTGACAGTGCATGAAACTCCAATCTTTTTTATTAATGCCTTCCTATAGAAACAAGTCCCCCTGCACAAGCAGAGAGCCCAAGGAAAAGGGAAACAAGGATAAAAAAAGGTGTGGGGCAAGGTGATAAAGAGTTTAATATCCTGAAGCTAAAGGGATACGAGTTCCTGTTTTGGTGTGCAAGTTTGAAATCCTGCCAGTTGGCTCTCAGAAGAGAAAGAAAAACAGCAAAGCTTTTAACTTCTGTCTTAGGGACAGGCCAGAAGGAGAACTGTCTGAACGAATGGCAGCACCTTGTATTTCTGTCCTGGTCTCTGATCTTCTTCTCCATCTCTGCATCTGTGAGGGTTTCCAGAAGAGGGCACCACTGGTCAGCATCCCCCGTATTGCGAATAGCGATTTCCACAGTCGGCAAAGGGTTCTCGCTGCATGGCAGGGCAGAAGGCAACAAAGCAAGGTCCATCAGTGGTCCCAGAGCACTCCTCTGGGTTACCAGCCCAGATACAAGACACAAAGACAATAGAGCATCATTTACAGTGTTTCAGGCTTAAGTATTCTTTCTTAGCTCTGCTTGGAACAGTCAGGTTCCCAGAAGAACACCCACCGCTGGTGGTTACCATTTTGGCAGCCTAAAGTGGGAGACCAACTACAACCATCTCCTGTCACCACAGGAGAGAGGCTTATCAAAGCAACTGACACAGTTCCCTCCCACACAGCCCGTTATGGAGCTGGCTGACAGTGTTCAAACCCAATAACCACAGGCAGAATTCATTATTAGTTTATTAGTGCTGAGAGCACTCCTCCCAGAGCAGCAGCAGGGACTGTTCACAGGGATCTTTGCCCAGCTTTGCCATTCTGAACTCTGCCTTCCTGGCTGCAGTCTGCCTAGCACACCTCTGACAGCTCTTCCCTGGCAAAAGCCTGGCTTTCTGGGAGTCTGGTGGGATGGGAGCCTGACAGTGGAAGAAGTTGCGATGAAAGAGCAGTCTTTTAGGACCTGCTGTTGCAACCAGAGGCTGTGGCTACTCCTTGCACAAGCAATGAGACACTGGGCTCTGTCCCAGATCACAAAATCTGTTCCTCAGAAATCTCTCTGCCCTGACCAGCTGTATTATCACATGCACAAAAATATTTACTGCTTCACAAGCCACTTTTCAGTAAAAGTCAACAGGAACTGACCAGGAGCAGCTTCCCAAATATTGACAGTGCAGCCGGAAGCCCAGCATAAATACAGAGGAGCCTCAGAATGTAAATGTTTGCTTTGAATTCTAGGAAGTGGCTCAGCCTGGGCTGCACAAAGTGTGTGTGTGAGAGGAGCCCTCTGGCAGGTGTGCACACACATCCGGCTCCCTCCCCTGGGACATGCCTCCCTGCACAGGAATCCAGCCCTCATGGGCAGCCCTCTCATTCCCCCAGGAAGGAAGTCAAATGTAATTGTCATGGGAACACAATGTCTCCATCAAAGCTATTCATCTAGAATAACAACTATTCTAAGTTATGCTACAATGAAAAATTAATCCTTTGGTATCTGATCTTGGG